TCAATAAAGCACCTCCAGCAATAAGATTACGGCTAAGCTCGTGTACATATAAACATTTGGCCAAAGTGAAGGTAGAACCATCTCCAGCTCGGAGTTTTACTGAACCAGTAGAGTGTACCGCCAAATATGCATCACCACCTGCTAAGCAAAGGCGTTTGTTGGAGTCGGCTAATGGTTTGATAGTAGCGGTGTCAAATAACTTAATGTCGTTAAACATATGATGCAAGGCCCCGGTATCGTTAAGAGCCCAAATGCCATCAGCAGGAGTTACTGAAGAAGCAGTTGTGTCGAAATCTACAAGTTCAGAGCCCTGTGCATATGGTGGAAAGGTCTGAGCATCGGGATCAATCGGAGTTTGCAAGAAAGCTGATGAGACTTCAATAACAGGAACAACATAAGGTGTTGCTAGAATAGCAGCAATTGTAGTAGGAGGTGGAGGTGCAGTAACTGGCTGTAACTTGATCAAGAACGTCATCGCATGATTCGCAGATGCAGCAGGAGGTTTAACAATCTTGACTCCTCTGATGGAGCTAGATGAACCGGAGTGATTGGCTTGAGGACATCGCTTGAATCTCTTCTTATTTTCATCTTGCTTTAACATCCACTCATCACGCTTGGCATAGTTTGACGGTTTCTTGAAACATTGATCAGGTCTGTGTGGGTTTTGAAAAGTATTACCAACAAACTTATCAATAGTACACTTAGTTCAATGACTCGGGTTGGCGTGATACTGAGAAGAGTTGGAGGCACGATGAATCGATTGAGCATGAGAAGCGTATGTTTGTTCATCTTCGTGCATTAGCAATTCTTCTTTGACTTTCTTGTAGACAAGAGGTTGAATCATACGATAAATAATAGCAATGGTGACTTCATAACCAGGTTTCAAACTTCTGATCAAAGAACAAGCAATTTGAGAAGAGTCCATGTCTCCTTTGTACTTCTTGTATTCGCGAAGCAAGGTAGAAAACTTATCAATGTGAGTTTTCAGATTATCAGATCCAAGTTGAGTCATAGTGAGTAAAGCAGTCTCGACATGTTTTAATTTAGCTTCTGATATGCTTGCATGATAAGTTCTAAGAAAAGACGGTTGAAAGGATCATAATTTATGGTCATTTCTTTCGTAACAGGATCCATTACCGATAAATCATCCCTAGCTCTCTCACTGTTCACACCATCACACTTGTTAAGAATCCAAGTTGATAAAAGGAACCTGATCATCTTATGCTTCTCTTCAGTTAAACTAGTATCAACATGATCTTTGATGTCTAAATAGGATTCATAACCGAGAGACTCAATGGATTCATGTATTAATAAATGCCAGTGATTGTAATTATTGTCAGTAAGATCATTCTTGATATTGAATTTGCTGAGAGAGGTGGTGGTGCTTTGAATAAATTGTTGAAGAGGGGATAGTGATTCAGTAGCTGAGTTATTGGTAGACATAGCAGGCGAAGGAAGTTTGGCAGTAAGAACCAAAGACTTTAAACCAGTAATGTTCTTGACAGTGTGAGTCGATTTTCCGGAACTATTAGATGATCCAGAGTTGGATTTGGTGTCAGTTGGATTAAAGTCGACAATGTCTTCGTCGGATTGCATAGAGATTTGGTCATTGGATTATAAGTAGTGTTGAAGAATATCAAACACTCTTGCTACCATGTGAGGTTTGAATACAAATGCTCAGAGGAGCTTGGATAGGTCGATGCCAAGTAAGATGAGTACCTGGGGTGATCAGGTAAGATGTGAGTACGGCAACAGGCCTTCACAAGCTTCAAAGAGCAAATAAGAAAACAAACCTGGGGTAATCAAGTAAGATGTGAGTACGGCAACAGGCCTTCACAAGCTTCAAAGAGCAAATAAGAAAACAAACCTGTGCTCAAGCAACAGGTATTGATGAAGGATCAGGTTAGGAAGAGTAAGTAAATAAAAAGTAAGATTCTTTTTGATAAAGAAAAAGAATCTGGGTGTAACAAAGAGGAACTACTTACAGCTGTTCTGCTTTTTTGTGTCATGTTCACAAATAATTTTTGTTTGTTTGTTGCACGCCACCAACCAGATACAGGCTGTACAGGGCTGTACAGGTGGTAAGTACAGCCTAGCTTAACCTAGCTCAGAAGGTCCAACATACTCGACACCTGTCTCACCCCCGATCACCGGAGGAACCCATCGCCCTCTTCGTATCCACCTATCAAACCATCGCAATCCCATTTTTTATATTGATTTCTATTCCCGGCGTCTTGACCTCACTCACCACAACTCTCCAGGTGAGCCTCATACCTTTCTTCACCTCCAACCAGAGCCTTTGGCTGAGCTCTGACCCTCACCATCTTCCTTTTCCAGCCATGCAAACTCGTTTGATGCGTCCTGGGAAATAAGACGCCGGGATCAAAGTCCTAGCGGTTCAATACCTACGCGAGGGAAAAACCATCGCACAAGTTCGACACCTATTGAGGTCTCCGGTCAGCCAACGTACTATTGCCCGTTGGCACGCTTTATACCGATCTACCTACTCGGTTGTTCGCAATCCTGAACACTATGAGACCGTCGGAAGGAAGACTGCCCTCACTGATGAAGACAGGGATTTCATTCTTGAGCTTCTCGATGGCAACCCTGGACTTTACTTGGACAAGTACCGTCTAGCTGTGTACCGCTGTACGGGGACTTGGCTCTGCCTGTCGACAATCGCCAAACATCTCAAGACACGCCTCAACTTGACGGTCAAGAAGGCTCGTACGGTTCATCCGAGTCAAAGCGCTTCCAAACAAGCCAAATATCTGCATGCGGTGGGCGCTCTGACCCCTAACATGCTTGTACTTTTAGGTGAGCCCCCTATACTGATGCTGAGTCAATTACCTATACATCATCACTCACTTACATTCTCTTGCAGATGAATGTTCAATTCAAGAACGCTTCCTACGCAGAGAAAACGGTTGGGCCGTACGTGGGCAGCATACCAAACGGGTACCTTGGAGCCGAGGTGGCAAAAGGTTTTTGCTGCTTCCCGCAATATTCAGGGGTGGTATTCTCGCTGTGGACTGCCAGGAAGGCAGCTATGTTCGCAAAGACTTTGAGGGCTTTCTCAAGCATCGGGTGGTAAGCTACCTCTCCAGGCCTAGTTCAGTGTTTGAGTGGACTATCACTGACAGTTTGAATGTGGTTAGTTCCCTGTAATGAACTCTTACCCTCAAGCCAACTCTGTTTTGGTTATGGACAACTGTCGGATCCATCACAGTGGCCGAGTAGCCGAGCTCGCCGAAGAGAGAGGGATCCGCATAATTTACCTTCCCCCTTGCTCACCCGACCTGAATCCAATTGAGAAGGCTTTCTCAGTCCTCAAGTCTCACTTTCGAAGAACTCAAAGTCTCATTCAAACCCCCCACTTAGATAAAATCAACCACATCATAGATACAACTTGGGAGATCTTCTTGGGCGCGCTCATGCATTGTTTGTACTCTGTATGTGGCTATTGGGTGTAGTTAGATTTCTCATCTTTGGCTATTGGGTGTAGTTAGATTTCTCATCTTGTTAGATAGTGTCATAGTCCAATGGTTTGTCCAGTAATGAAGTCAATACTTGAACGCAAAGTTCCCCCCTTTTGAAGATGAGTTCAACCTGAAATAACGTAAGACCACCTACCTGGGCAAAAGTCCCTTTCCTCGGACAAAGTCCGATAAAAATTCCAAATGCAAAAGACTTGGAAAGTGACTTTCCTCAGACAAAGTCCAAAAACAGTTTGTTTCCTAAGACATGCTTTGATAGTGACTCATTCCAAGCCTGTCTCAGGAAACAAAATTTTTTCGGACTTTCCTAAGACAAAGTCGGAAAAAATTTCCAAGGAAATTTTTGGTCTAGTAGGAGAGCAGTCGCTCAGCCACTCTGAACGTCTCACCCTCAAGTCAAGAGGTAGAGTGGAGCAGTGTTTCTTTCAGACACTCTGAAAAAGTCTCAACCAAAAATCAAAATAAACATTGGAAATTTGTTTTTGATTGCAAACGGAGATCACAGGGCATAGCAGAGACAAAAAAAAAGCGAGCATTCATATCACAAAGCAAGGCCACACATGAACAAACTTTGAGGTTAAGGGGATATCTTTTTGTTTATCTTTGAGGAGACAAAGGGACAATGACAGAAAACAATTTAAAAAGAAAATTTGAGAACAAATAAGGGGAAATAAAGAAGCGATCAAGTGCTTTCCGCGCTTTTGGTTTGAAGGTGATGTAAGAATTTAGGGACACCCTTGTAAATGTCTTCGGCATGAGCAAACGGCACACCCATGCGGTGAAACAGATCGATGGTGTAAGTGCCACGGTCCAAAAGCCGACTGAAGGTGTCGATACCTTTGTTTTTCAAGACATCGCGAGTCTTGGTCATGTCCGTATGGATACCTGTAAATTGGAGGAACTCCTTAAAGTTGGGTGTGACACCTGGGGGGAGCGAGAGAGAGCGAGACACCGGGGGGGTCACCGAGGGCGGTGTTGCCGCCACAACAGGGGCAAAACACGGGGGCGGATTGGTGGGAGGGAAAGGTGTGCCGTAATAGTTGTTGTGCACCACGGTCGAACCAACAGGCGTGGCTTTGGCGGTCGACGCTGAACCAGGGGGTAGACTCAAGCCGAGGAGCCGCACCTTCTCGCGCTCGTAGTCGCAGACGTCTATCCACTGAAAACCGGGGCGCTTCATTGGCGGATTAACCTTGTCCACACCGGGGACTCCATCGGCCTGTGAGGCATGAAACATCAAGTCAGGTGATACAAGAGGATGAGACAGGCCAAAATCAGAAAAGGAGAAGAGTACGTACCCAGTCGTTTGCCCACGTCCGGATGCGTGAGGTGTTGAGGAGTACCACCTTGCTCGTATCTTTCGGATTGGGAACGCAGGTCACGTTCTCCCCGGTTTTGAAGTCCTTTTTGAATTGGGTCATGAGAGTACGTCGGTTGCGCTCTCCCGCCTTCAGAATGGCAGACTTAAATAAGAGGGAACAACCGGGGTCAGTTTGGTCTGTGTCAGGAGGGAGAGACGTAAAGTAAAGGAGAGAAAATGACCCCTTCAGAGGCGTCGGAAGCGTCCTTGTCAGACTCGTCAGAATTGGGCGCAGTGTCTTTGCAAGCAGCCTTCAGAGCTCGCAGGGCCATTTGAGTCTTGACGGGATTCTCATGGATTATCTTGAATCCCATGGTGGTGGACTCGGGTACAGACAACGCCGCATGAATGAACTCTTTGAAAGACTCGTGATCGGTTATTGACACATTAGCCTTGGCCTTGTGCTGCTTGGCCCGATGGATAAAACCCTGGATGGCCAGCTCGTCAGCGAGCCAAGCACGGTGGAGGGCCTCAGATACTTGCGGGAGCTGTTTTTCGCAAGCCTGGAACAGGAGACGTTTGAATATCACAAAAGGTGTATGCTTTGCCCAAAGAATGAGCTTGATAGTAAGCCTGGGGTTGAAGTTAGAGTACTTCAGCTTGGAAGACTTGACACGGTTAGCTCGAGGACCGCCTGGAGTTCGTTTGCGACGTGAGTTGGGTGGGTCCACCTCGGGTACGACAAGTTGCCAGAGGTTGAATTGAACCGTGAAGGTTCGTTCTTCATTGGGCACATCCGGTACATTCGAGGTGGTAGACAGAGCAGGAGTAGGTAGTCCGGAGCCACTGGGTTTGTCATCAAGGCCGTCACCGGAAAGCTCTACATGTACCACATACTCGGAAACATCAGTTGATGTTTGTCCTCGAGGCTTCCAAAAAAAACTTACCATCATCAATAGGTGCCAACTCGTCCTTGTCATCAGACAGGTTGAGCTTGGAGGCCCCTCTTTTCAGAGGAGACCTTTGCACAGGGCGAGATCCAGATGATAATAAACGGCTTGGAGCCAAAGGAGTGTATTGTGACAATGGGGACGCAGTGAAGATGGAAGGGTTAATGTGGGGATTGATTGAGGACATCAAGGACAAGGGCGACATGGTGCAAGGGGACAGGTGAGCAGGACTACGGCCAATAACATGGTTCATCAATGTGTGATCATAACGGGGGGGTGGAGCATCACTGAAACACAACAAATTTGCCAATCAGTTTCTCAACTGTTCAGCGGAGGTCATCGCATGACTCACCGGGTTCCGGGACGCGTGGATGCTTGCATCAAGGGCATGAGCGGAGGTGAGGGTGAGATCCTACATGGTGGAAAGACGTCAGCCAAACCGCATGGTGACAAGAACCAATTCTAGGAAAAGCTCACCGGTTGCTACTGTAACTTTGAGATTGAGCCAAGAGTGCCTGGTAACTACGAGTGCGGATCGGAGGTGATCTGATCTGATTGATACGTCCATCGGTAGGCCTGCAGGTTTTTTCGAATATGAGGAGTTTGGATTTGCAAAGTTAGAAATCGGGGAAAGGCAAGGCAAGATTGAGACCAAGGCATACAATGATTGGTTGGGAATACGGTGGTGGACCATGATGCAAACTGCTGTCTTGATTGGAAAATAGGGATGATTGTGCGTTTTGAGTTGACCACATGATAGCAAAAGGCCTCTTTTGTAGTCCTTGAAGAGAACGAGCAAGTTGTGGTTGAAGAAATCCCTGGCTGGGTAGAGATTTATGGCATGGACCAGATCCATGGGTGGCTCGAATTCATTGGCTGGCTTAAGATTCATGGCTGGCCTTCATTTGACAAAATTGGTTGATGATTGAATGTCAGAACCAAAGAAAGGGTGTCCGACCGGTGATGGATGCTGAGGTGGGGTCGAGTTATTTGTGCATATTGTGTGAGATTGTTTGTCATGAAGATGGGGTGTAGAGAGTTGAACTGCGCGGACAAACAACCCAAGCGCTATCGAACTGGATGTTGGGGTGGGACAGGTGTCGAGTATGTTGGACCTTCTGAGCTAGGTTAAGCTAGGCTGTACTTACCACCTGTACAGCCCTGTACAGCCTGTATCTGGTTGGTGGCGTGCCACAAACAAACAAAATTTTTTTGCGAACATGACATGAAAAAGCAGAACAGCTGTGTAAGAAAACAAACAGCGGAAAAGCAGAAAGCGAAGCAACACAAAATTAAAAGAACTACTCAAGTCACATAGGACTTATTCCCAAAGCAGCCAACATACATAATCATAACACCTTTTCGTAACTATCTTCTATTTCTAACCTGATACGTAAACAACTTCACAATTTAATTTGATTTCTAACCTGATTCGTAAACAACTTCACAAATTTAATTTGTTGATGATTCTGTTCATGATGTTGTATTCTCTTCGAGCGTAAACTAAAACAAACACCTGAAATCCTTGACACATAAGCACAACTAATACCACAATAGTTTGGTTTATATTTGTTGAAGTTTCATCATGATGGCAATACATTGCCCAGATGTGGATGATCCATTGGTTCACTTCAAGTTGAGCCAACCACAGCAACAGATACATGAGGAGCATTCTTCAGAGAAGAAACCAAACATTGATTGCAATAATATGAAGTGTTTGTAACAATCAGTGGCACAATGCGTTATATGTCTCTTTGCCTCATTGAGATGGAAAGTTCCAGAGTTTGAACCATGGAAAGTTTTTATACACCTTCATTGAATTTGGAGGATAAATTGACCACATTCCACTCTAAATCTTTGAAAACTCTACATCCATCCTGAAGCCTGACATTCTCCAAATCTATGTTAGAGCTTAAAGCAAAAAGACAGAAAAAAGATTCTTGAAATGATTCAGAGGCAAAATATCTCACTGGATTGCAGGGAATTTGGACAACTACCGTGAATACTGTAGATCTCTGCATTGGCTACAGGAGAGATTTAGAGCCAGAGGTCTGGATAATACTTCACAACATTAAGTGTGTTGCAGAAGTTATGTAGCTCTCCCTCACCATTATTTCAATTTTCTGCCGGTCCCACAACCACTGTATGATCTTCTCACTAAGGACCATCTCAGTAAGTTATGTTGGACTCAATGAAGTGAAGGTTGCATCTACTGGCAGTTTAATGAAAGAAGTCTCAAGTTTCCAACTTAATATCAGAGCATATCACAATGTGTGAGATTCACTTTTTTAAAAGGGACTCCAATGGATGAGTTGGTCATTGGTCATCGTTTCAAAATAAAAGGCCACTGGGTGCCCAAACATGGTTCAATTTTATCACCACCGGATGGCGGATATTAAATATTGCTTTGCCAAAATATATATAATGGCTTTCAAAATTGTAGATGAGGTGTGGGCTGTGGCATTGGATAAAGATGCCTTGCTTCAAGATTGATCCAGTGATTACAAAATAACTTTATATAGATTTATTTACAAGTACAATCCATATACCAAACAGTTTAGAATGGCTTACAATATCAATGGTTGAAAGAAGTAAAATATTGTGTGATGTTGTATGTGAAATGTGTGAGGATGTGAAAAATACAGTGAGCGCGGCGGGCTGCCCATGTTGCTCTAGTTACAGATTATCTATAAACATTTAACATGTGATTGAAACTTACACAAGTGAAGCAGCTCATTAGTAACATTTACATCTATACATAGCACATCATTTATAATCGAATCAATTATTACTCATCATTGTTAATAAGAAAACCATTAAGATAAATTGAATCACTGCAAGATCAGCTTATTGGTAAACTTCACAGTAGCATCTCACAGCAAAATTGATCATACTAAAAGACTTGGCAGAGAAGGATTGCATAAGAAAGCTGGGTATATGAGCAATGAATCACTTGTAGAAGATTTACATATCACATTACATCATACTACATGTTTGTACTAGCTAAAATGGCTCAAAATGGTGAAACATTTCAGTCATATATTTGGTTTTTCAAAGCTGTTGACCATTATTAATTGTAAAATCAGCTATATAAGGCTTGGACTTTGTCCCACTTTTGTATTTTTCCCTTTCTTCTTCATCTATGATAAAGTGTTACCACAGTCCTAGTTCATTTAAACTGCCCTTATTAATCAATAAGAGAATTTGTTTTATTGGTCTTATAAGCTAAAAGCTTCATTTGGAATAACACTTTTGTGTTGAGAATTTCTCTGGTGCCTTTTTATCAAGATACTTTTCTCTTTTATCATAGTCCTGGTTATTTTTCTCTGCTATCAGGAGACTTGAATCACAAAGTCCAGTTCGTTAAAGATTCTCAGAAAGAGCAGTCTCAGACACCTTCTGTAAAGGAATTATATTTACAGATTATACTCTTTCAAGGACTGTATAGCCCTTGTTGTGCTATCAGTACCACATTGTTTGAGAGACTTAATGGTAAATTGGCTAAGGATCCCACTATTTAGCGCCCTCGGAGCAGTATCCGGCGCCCCTTCTCGGGTCGGACACCAGGCTACAAACCTTTCTGGCGCCCCTTCCTACAAAAAGGGGCTCCTTATTTGATCATAAGGGGCACCCACGATCTTTACTTCATCTCCTCTATTTATCCTCCATTGATCTTGGTCAGTCAAGGATTTCCTCTTTTGTACACGTAGACAACACCAATCTAACTATCTGAAGTAAGCAAAGTCGATACAGAGCCATTGTCACTTTGATAAAAGTGCAACAAGCTGAGCTCGATGAACACCCAAGACCGTATGCATTGCATAAACATATCTCAATTAGTCAACCAACAAGTCGCTCATCATCTCCTAGCTTTCAAGATGATCATTCCTTTACTTGAAAACCCCACTGATGATTCAGTCCAGATTGCGGTTGGTTTCACCAAAGAAGTTGGTGCTTTCTTTTCGGAGGCTGAACCTAAAGCCAATAACAGTGTTTATGAACGATCCCGTTCAATATTACATGAAGCTACTATTAGCAAACGAGTTCAATACATGATTGAAGTCTTATTTCAAGTTTGTAAGTATTGATTCAAGGATAATCCAGTCTTGCCTGAAGGATTGGATCCTGTTCAAGAGGACAATATCATTACTCATCATACCAGAGGCAGAAAACAAAACAAAACAAAACAAAAGGACACAAACTACAAAAACAAACATACCACAACTGTAGAGTGTCCAACATAAGAAACAGACTATCAATCCTGATTTATTGAATTCACAAAGTAAGGAAGAAGATTCATTGATATGGACTTTCAAGCTGTCTGATCTGATTTGTGACATGGTTTGCAGAGCGAGCTCGATATGCTTGAGCTTTAGCCTTGTAAGAGTTGAAGTGAAAAACTTTGAGATGATTCCAGACCACAAGAGGATCATGAACAATTTGCATATCTCTAGTAGTTGGATCTCTAACAGTTAGTTCATCTCCGACATGTTCATCATTGACTCCATCACCAAATTGAGAATCGAAGTCGTAATGTGAAATTTGATTTTCTTCTGTTTCTCATCAGTAAGAGATTCATCTCGATGGACCTTCCTGTCTATTTAGTCTCCATATTGTAAAGATTTGATAGCTTCATGAAAAAGAAGACTGGGAGAAAGTGGAACAATGGTAGGTAATGCAAGTGAACAAAGGCCTGAAGAGCTCTTTACAGTTTGTCAGGTGATGATGATGATTGAAAAAAACGAGTTGGATTTGGTAAAGGACAGGGTTCATGAGAGCAAAAGTTTTGTCTTCCGGATCTGCCTCTTATCTCTATAGGTTGTTGTGTAGTGTGTTGTTGGGGTGGGTATGGTTGTTTGAAGTGGTGATCAGTGGGTGAAAGGGATAGAAGAAAAAATTGGACAAGGGAAGAAAGTGCGAGGGAGAGGGCGCAAGGGGCTTACGTTAAGCTTGGTTCCATGGCTTGAAGGGCCAATGTCCGTGCATGCAAAGGGCCGGTCCGGGCACAAAACAATTTAGGTGCCCTTTTGTTTGTTTTGATGATATTTGCAGCCCCATCAAGGATGGAAGGGCACCAAATAGGTCAACTAACAGTTTAATTGGGGCTCATTTGTGAGTTTGTGCCCTCTTAGGGAGTTGGGTGTCAGCGGGTCACACGGGTTTTGGTGAAAACCCGGGGGGCTCCGGATATCAGCCAAGGGGGCGCTAAATAGTGGGATCCATTGGCTAAACTACCAAATAATAATCATCCTAGTAAGTTCGTAATATCAACTAAATAAAAGATTTTGTCTGAACTGACAAAAGTACGGTAGATTCCCGCAAATTGACAAGACTCAGGAAGTTCACCTTAGAGCAGAACCTGCGGCCAGTTGTCAATATCTTATGCAAATCTCTTCCAGGAGACATTGCTACAAGGATTTTGAAGTTTTTGGATCCCAGTGGTGGACCATGAGGCAGTACCTCCGGATACAATGCTCAAACAGGCATCCCTGTACATGCGGAGCCCGTCTATCACTACAACAAGAAAAAAGCCAAGACCCTGGACTACAACACCCACGAGAACCTGCCACGCCTTTGTGGTGATCTATATATGGGATCAATCAAAGAATTCATCATTAGTTAGTTTCCCAAGTTATGAGAAAACTTCAGTGTAGCAGAAAATTCAAAATGGGGGTTTTAGATCAATTGAAGCTCTTCTAGGCTTATGTGTTGGTCATTCGGTCAAGATTATGTCATCATATTTCACAAAGATCATTACAATCATCATAGTTTATTCACAATCATATTGCAAGAAGGCAGAACAGAAAAAGATAAGAACAATTCAAAAATATAGGTATACAGGCTTGGAAATGGGTTTTAGGGTAGTAATATTAGGTTTATAAGTTTTTTTTAGGTTAGAATATGAAAGAACAACACTGTATTATACTGCAACAACTTTAATCTCAAAGTTTGATAAGGAGAAACACAAGTTATTAGAGGAAAGGTACTTTTGTAAGGATGGTAAACAAGGGTTATACGTGTAATTTACATATGTAATGGTGGTAGTAGTGAAATTTAGGGTTGTCAAGAGGATTTTCTGGGATTATTAAGGTTATAGAGGATGATTTCATATAACATGAGCAAGAAAGAAGGAGTAACAGCTGTGAAAAGTAGTGAAAATGGGTGAATTTTGTTGAAAATGAAGGTTTTCAGCGTATGACATATGCCAAATAACATCCAATTGTGATGGTAGATAGCTCATTCAATGCAAAAGAGTGGATCACATAATGTATAAGCTTCAAATCACTAGTAGTGGAGGTGTATAAACAAAGTTATAAGGGAAATAAGAAATTGGTGTGAACTTTGAATTTACAGTCACAAGCATACATGTAACACTAAAACCCTTAACTTTACAGCTCAATAACTCAGTCATCACTCATCAGAAACACATGATATGGCACCATTTATTGATCAGCATCACAACCTCTACAAGATACACTTTAGTAATCCAAAATTGGACCCCATCTGAAAAAATTTGTAATCTCAAAAACTGGGTTTCAGCTAGTTTACAAGGAAAAAAACACCTGTATTCATCATAAGAAGTGCTGTACATCATATAACTACATCATTGATCACTTTTGGCTGTGTGAATTACATCATACATTAGTGATCATTACATTGCGTCATCATATGGTCTTTAGGGTTCTTCAGGCAGATTTGGCTGTTTTTGAGGCTGTTGACTATTGTAGGAGTTTTTACATGTGGATATAAATACTCTCTGATGATTTTGGGATTGTTGTTTCCTTTTCTGCATCTTATCCCTTTGTTGTAGTGTTATAAATCATTATTTATTTACTACATTTGTACCAAGATCACTTAAATACGGCCTTTCAAAACAAGGAGAAATTTATTTATGTGTGTTCAAGGCTATAAGTCTCTTTGGGAATAATACTGACAACAGTATTGCTAGTAATAAAAATTGTTTGTAGACCTTTGCGCTTAAGATCTGGAATAGTACTTATACAAGTACTGAGAACATTTCTCTGGTGCCTTTTATCTATTTCTCTGTTATCACAAAGTGGTCAGCAAGTGCCCTTGTGCTGGTTTCCTTGAAGAAGGCAGTCTTTAGGCAACTTCTACTATTCTTACGTAGTAGATTATCCCTTCTTAGGCATTGTAAAGCTCTTGTTGAGCTTTAAATACTACATATTGGTGACTCCGCTGGGGCTTTTACTTTCAACAAGCAACAGCCGTCATTTATATTTAATAATTCCCTTAATCATTATCTTAAAACATCCACAATTTATTATTAAAATTAACTATCAAATTAACAATAAATCAAAACTCAACATTTCAAAATACAACTATTATCATCAAGAATTAATTATAATTAATCAATTCATATCAAAATTAATCATATATATACTATTCAACAATAATTCATCTTTGAAATTCATAATATAATTCAAAAACCATGCATATCTTTAAAATAATTACCACCTTCAAAATCATCAATATTCTGAGTTGTCTTTATTCAATAACATATTTCATTATATCAAAAGAATAATCTGTCTTCAGTTATTCAAATTCATCATCAAGAAGTAGCAGATGAGGGAGATTCAGAATTAGATCTACCACCAACATCTCATTATAAAAGAACTTCATGTGCAAGCAAAACTTATGTTCAAGAAAATCTTCTTAATTATTCCACATCTTCACCATCTGGATCTTTACCACCACCTCCAGGACCTGCTTCAAGATCAACAATTTGTGGAAAACAACATGAAGAAACTGTGTCTGAGGATCCAAGACCTCCTACAGCAATTATTGGCTTTAGAGAACAGGAAGCATTATTACCCTCTGACCAGGAGGAAGAACCTGATTGGCAATAACAGTTTTTTAATCAACAACCATATTATTTACAAAGAGAGAAAGAAATGGCTGATATGATAAATTTAATAAGAATTAAGGAAGAAAATGGGAAGAAGGAAAAGAGTGACGAGGTTATTAAGGTTGTGAAGAAAGGAAAAGGAAAGAATATAACAAAGAAGATTGTTAAAGAAGAAGAAAGTGATGGGGATTCTAGCACCTCAAGTAGTTCAAGTGATGAATCAAGTTCTACTCCAGAAGAAAGTGATGAAGATAAAAATAATGAAAGGTGTAGAAGTCATATGAAACCACAAAAAATTGACAATTCTGACACAAGTGTGAGATTTGAAGTTGGAGGAAATGTCAAGAAGTTTATTATCAATTTGGTGCTTCAGAACTTGATATGGTTAGACAATTTACCAGTCTTGTTGTTGGAGAGGAACTTGAGGAAGAAATACATGATATGGAAGGATGGGGAGCGGGAGAATGGAGTTGGAAGAAGGTTAAAGAACAATTAATTGCAAGATATCAGACTACCACGCAGCAGCCAAGATATTCTATTGATCCTTTAAGGACTTTATCTCAAAGGACTATGAGAAATGGAGGTGTTATGTGGAAAATTGAATATCAAACTTTTAGAATTAACTTTGATAAGATTCATCAATATTTGGCTAGACATGATTTTATGGATTCAAATGACAAAGAGGTGGCACAGTATTTTTATAAACACCAGCTCCATTCTCGTGTAGCACGTCGACGTGCACACACGAAGAATGTCCTGTAGAAGCGTGATACAAGCTTCGAACAGGTCTTTAGAAAACAGCTAGGACTCCCTTTGTTGAATCAATCAGACGGTGAGACCGTAAGAGACATAGGGAGTCTGAGGTGTCTGATCTTGTCTGTTCAGCGTGTTGTCTGCGACAACGGCTAACGGCTGTGCCGGGCACGTCACCAGTTTGGTTTCTTACAAAATACCTCGACTATCTGATTGAACAGTTGAAAAGCTTGCCTTTGAGTCCTACCATAGACATCTGTGGACTATCACCTGTCTTGCGAGCAGTTTCAGTTTCTGTTTCAGTGACCTGAAGTTGAACAGAGCGGTCACAATGTCTTAGGCAATATATACCAACAAAACTGCATAAACAGCAATGTGATGCTCGCAAATGTGTCTTAGAATCGAAAGAAACTGACCACCTGTGGCATGTTCTCATATTCGGTTTCTGTTGGTGAGGAAGTTCAACAGAACATTCTTGAATTTATATGAGATAAAGCCGCACACACAGCGGTCGTTTGAATCTGACTCTCGCCTAGGCACTTGATGTTATCACGGCAAACGAGTCTTAGCTTCAACAGAAACCTCTCTTCAATGTTGATCAACAAAAACTACAAACCTTTGGCTTGCCCGCCCACCTATTCCGAGGTACCTTGAGACATACCATCGTGCTTTCATCACATATTTATATTGTGGTCTCTTGCTCTCGTGTGGGCTTCAAACTCACAAGACTTGTTGATTTCCTTGTGATCATCCGCACACATCATTCTTTGATCTGAATAAGTTCATTTTCATTTTCCAAATCGTCGTATATTGCTACAAAAGATTCCATTTCATTGCTACATAAATTCAAAATGCCTCTCAACCCTTACAAAACTTCACCATATCACTCAAAGAGTGTTAAGAGATGGCAACATCTTGTTCGTAAAAACGCGTCTCTTCGCACTATGTCGAAATATGAGATGACTATTGTTCATGTGAGTTTTTCTTACATTCAAGCCATAACCATCCTTTCCGATTATTCCTGTCTGATTATCTTCTATATTTTCCGTTAGTCTCTTGTTCGCCGACACCTCCGTGTCTTGATGGGCCGAGAGTCCAATCAAGCACCCATCCCACCCTCGCTTTCAGGACCTGAGAAAGAGGGTTTGCTCGAACGGTTCCCGGAAGGCGATCCAATGCCTGTCGGCTGGTCTGTCCCTCTAATCAACAATACAGACCTTGTGAAGACTGGCCCTCACATAAGCAACGAGGAGTTTCGAGAAGTCGAGAACAAATTGATGTGATGGGGGCTCAGACGTTTTTCATTTGACTGGGAGGCGGACCTAGAAGCCCCGGTGAACGTCTTGGCCCGCGAAGTATTATGGAATTTGTTTTATCACGCAATCAGACATCGTGCTTATCGCTTCACTATTAACGAACACCTTCTCAGGCGCCAAATTGTCTTGCCTGTCATCTTGGAACAATTCAATCTCCTCGCTCGGAAGTATAAAGATCAATGCAACAACCCAGAGGTACTTGAGTATCACTACGTAGTTGCCCAGAAAAAAAAGGTCAGCAAGTAATCTATTTTTTTTCAAATTCATGGTGCTGACTAAGTTCTGAGAACAGGTTTTGGAACAATATCGGGCTTACATGATCAAATCGGGTGCTAGTCCTCGCTTGGTGTCCATCTTTCAGCCTAGAAACTACTCCCTTCTCGGAGATTTCTTCGAAGTCAAAGTTTCGGCCGCGATCACTTCCGTCAATGAAGTACACTTCTTGGTACCTAAATGGTGGTCTAAGGATACCTTGTCGTTCATCGAGACGATTGAGAAACATGTCCACTTTAATTCAACCTCTCGCAGCGATTATCCCGGAACGATTCGACCTGCTCACAAGTACATACCCACGGACTCAAAGGATTACGGTGTCGTAACTCGTCACCTTCCTTCCGATATGTATAGCAACGATTTCGAAGGTTCCTTACTACCAGCTGAGCTGTCAGACCTCAAGATGAAGGCTCCTGTCTTGCCGGACCTTCTCCACATGGAGTTAATCTTCCCTGTTTCTTGAATCGATTTCTTTCCACATCTACAAATTGATGGAGACGCGGGAAACGATTATTACACAAGTGACGAAGATGTGTCTGATGTAGAGCTTGAAGACAATTCCGAGATAGATTCCAAAACACACCCGTCTGATACTACTAGACTCCAAGATGAAATCGAGAGCTTAAAGGGCGACTTACAAAAATCGAACAACACTCTTTTGGAGTTCCAAAACCAAATACAACAGTTGATGCCCATACGCTTGGAAGAATTGATGAAAGCAAAGGAAGACATCAATATTATCAAGGCGAAGCTTGATTCGTTGCAGAACGTGGGAGGAGGTGCTCAACTCGAAAATTCCGAAGCTGAAGTGCAAGGAGTTGGTCAACTCAAAAATTCCGAATCTGAAGTGCAAGCTGGTGCTCAATTCAACACTGCCGAAACTGAAGTGGATGTGGGAGGAGGTGCTCAACTCGATACTTCCGAAAGTGAAGAACTTGATGTTCCACAACCTATGCACTTGAGCATTGAAAGCTCTCTCTGAGATCGACTGCACTCTGTTACCGGCAACGTTGATATTGAGTTGACAATGGAATTTTCTTTGATTAAAAATTATGTATCTATCCCCCCATCATGTTTTCTCCACTCCGATACAAAGTCTTGTACAGCCCATCTGTGTAACGGGTCCTCAGGTCAAGCACATGCAACCATGTTGTTTTCTGGTTTGACTGATTTCTTGGAGCGCTTGGTTTCCAAATGTTTTATCAATTGAAAGATGTTTGTGATGTGAAATTTGGCTGCGAAATTTGATTGATGTGATGTTATGGTCTTATGATAATGAATATTACCTCGACAATTCTGCATGCCAACTTCCCGAGCTCCAGGTGCTCGTTGTTCTAATCTTGTGCATATGTATCAATTGCCTTCAATTCATCAGAATCTTTATTGTCTTGTTTGAATCCAGCATTTTTTTCTTTTTGCTCTGCTTCTCGTTATTCTTTTTGGTGTGTGCTTTCTCACTATTTGTGGTACTAGAGTCTCCATGGGGACCTGAAGTGGGATCCTCTATATTCGACCGAGGGCTTTATGGGGCAGATTTAAAACTATCCGTATTGCCAGAATGTTCCTGTGGCAAGTTCATAGTCGAAGGATCCTCTTCGAGATCCACATCGTCTCTAATCTGGTTCTTTCCAGTTCAGATCATGGTGGGATTCATGGGAACTCATCTCAAATGAATCCTTTGTGACTGAAGGAGTCTGTGTTGGACTCTGCGTGACCTTTTTTGGATCTTGTTGATCACCCTCCAATTTTTTCTCTACATATCCATCATGCTTCTTCTCTTTGACCCATGTATTTAATCCAGGTGATTCTCTTGGCGATTCCATCTTCACTGGATAATCCACACCTTCTGAACCTCATCCCTCTGGGTTGGTTGTTTCCACGATGACAAGATCCTTCTTTGATCCGACAAGCTTTGGCATGCCAGTTTCTTTGAAAGCCTCGCTATCAGGACTGCCGCGCAATATTTCCAGACGTATACCCTCTCTGGGAGTGGATACTTGCAGCTTCGCGATTACTCCTCTTGCGCGCGACGCTTGCTCTGCGTTTTCAAGTTTATGCTCCTAGCCATCGAAACTCCCCCCAAGATGCTGGGTTGGATCCTACAACTCAGCTGTCTGATATTCTAGAAGGCTATTCGGGGGCAACCCCTTCAGGAGATGTAGTCGAGCAAGGGAATTTTTGGTTCCGCCCGCATGTATAGGAAAGTGGAGGCCGATGCATATTGAGAACCTAGGCTTTACAAGTTTGGTGGTGATCAGTGGGAAACATCAATTTATCGATTTAATGATCCGATACCTCAGTGGTTGTGAGAGGGCTTTTTCAGCCACATCAATGGTGGTCATCAAGATCGAGTTCTCAGAAATCTCTTTGAAACAAATATCGAGGTTGTGGAGGTTTCAGAGCAGCGTTAGATAAATTTGATCATGCATTTCTTTTACAAGGGTGGATATGATCGAAGTTGAAGGACACCAGTAACGGTACTGGTGTGTTTGACCAAGTTTTAAACGTGGCTGTGCTTGTGGTGGACAGTCCACAGGTGAGAACTGTTTGTCGAACAGCCCAAATAGGAAGACTGATAACATATTTGTTGGTGGGTTCTGTAGCCGGCTCTGTATTGCCACATCAGCTCTTACGAATTGTTCAAGAGCTGTGAATTTCGCCTATTCCTCCTTTATTTCAGTGTAACATATCTCTTCAAAGCCTCTTTATTTTTTTCTCACTTCAAACTACATTCACTTGGATTTACTTATTTCGTGTATATTTTTAATCATGAGTCATCAACCCACTGGTACACAGAACACGGCATGTAACTCACAAGGAACTTCGAAAAGACGTCGCTGTGAAGACGATCCACAACAAGAAGGTGTGCTCATAGTTTGGTCGCAATCTATCGTATATGTGATGTTTGGTATTGATTTCATGGAATGCTGTCTCGATGTTTCCTGAAATTTATAGATCAAAACAATGCTGGTCTAGGAGGCGTTTCTGATTCTGATGATGAAAATAGTTCAGGTTTGTCTTATCTTCCATGTAATCCGATACAATTAACGTTGAATATGCCCTGAGATTGTTATTATTTTTCTTTGGTATCAATTTTAGATGGAGACCTTACACATGAAGATATCATGGAAAGAAAAAGAATGAAGGCTGCACATTCGAAAGTACTTACACAGATCTGACAACGAGATGAAGGGATTGGGAAGATAGCTGGTTCCCATCCGGTTCCGAAATCGGCAACTCCTCTGGCAAGAGCGATTCACGAGTTCACACGGACGATCATGGGCATCCCAAGGAAAGCAAGGGGCTCTTCAGCATTTCAAAGCGCTGGTACAGCAAAACTTCCTGATCCTCCCACCGACGACGAACGCCACGATTGGCTGACTCGAAGACAGGTCCGAGAACAATTTATTCGGAATGCACAGGATAAAGCTTTAAAAAAATACATTTTGAAAAAACCCATGGGTTTCAAACCAAACCACAAACAAAAGAAAATGGTCGAAAAGGACGCCGCCGAAATGGCAACTTTGTCGAATCCGATGCAGCCGGTGGTCTTCAAGTCTCGCATATTGTCTAACAGTCGAAGTAAATACCCTCATCATTTCGCAACTCAATGTGAGGCAAGCTTAGCAATGGCCGGTTTCCCAAGATGTATGTTTGACTGGGAAGCTTCTTACGATACACCTTGGAACTCCGCAACGGCTACTATCATATTATCGCATTGGCTTAAGGCCTACGAAGCAAATGGTGCGAGAGAGTTTGGAATTCTTACGAAGGACAATACTGCTCCGAATTGTGAAGAAGTACTTCGACGCTGGTGTGGAAACAAGGCTACAAAATTCAGAGAACAATCTCGGAATGTGGAGTTGATGAAGACACCCGAGGGTCAAAAGAAACTGAACGATAACATATTAATAGCACAAAGTATCACAAACAAAAGACGTCAGAAAGACAAGGTTAGTGGCTGCTTTCTCTGTAGTTGGAAAGAAACGTAGCCAAAGACTCATCTTAATCTTTTGTATATCAGATTTACCAAGCAAGGAGGGCCACAGGTGTCAGGTTGTTCGGCGAAAATTCAGCAGAGGTGCAAATGTTGTCTCACGAAGAAATACATTCTGATGATGAACTGGTCGTATCTAATACAAGCGGCTCTCGTCAAAAGTTACGCCTCGAATGGCGCAGCGCAGCATTGGATACTCTCATCAACCTGCTGGACCAAGCCCATTGGAAGCGCAAGAGGATCCCGAAAGACATTAGACAGGCAAAACAGCTGGTTGAAAGAGGGGTATACGCGCCTGAAGCTGATAAAGATCGGTACCCACCAAAGGGGTTCCAATTGTCTCTGGTTTCTCCTGTCTGGTATGATCAACAAGAGGGTTTGTTGTTGGAAGAATTGGCTTTGAATGAAGAAAACCCCGTCCACATCGCCAATGCTATCCAAGGAGTGATGCAAAGTTTCAGATCTCGTGCCAGTATGGCTGCTGAAGAGGCAGCGGGGAGTAGTTCGGGAGTGATGGCAACCCAATTGTGATGTTCTCATATTTGCTTCTTTTTTATCTTAACATCTTATATACAATTACCTTCTTGTTTATAAGACTGCTTCTTATATATATGTGAATAGTGTGAATAGTGTAAATAGTTATAAGTGTTGATACAATTACCTTCTTTTTGATCTTACTTCTTATATACATGTGAATAGTGTGAATAGTGTCAATAGTTATAAGTCTTGATAGTGTATAAACATGAAATGTCTTTGTCATTGTTTTAAGACTACCTCATATTTTTCAACATCCTCGTCAATTCACCTCACCCAAATTTTTGAACGAAACAGGTTACAAGGTTTGTCATTGTTTCAAGACTACCTCATATCTTTCAACATCCTCGTCAATTCATTTCACCCAGATTTTTGAACAAAACAGGTGACGAGTCAATTATATTGACTCGTCTTCTTTATATCCTGAGCATCATCTTATGATACTCAGCATTTCGCCAATCAGGGCCGGGGCTGGTAAAATGTATTGAAGCTTCGCATTTCGCGAATTGCCAAGCTTCAATACAGATCCACATTTCACTCGTGCCAAACTAACGATTGCTACCTGAAGACCAAATTCAATACACCTGACGATCAATACCAGGGTGAGTTTCACCTCGTAAAGCGAGGACAGTCAATTATTCGGTTGGTTTCAATACCAAATAATCGACTGTGACCGATATGCCTGAAGATCGGTACCAGGCTTGATACACCTGACGATCAATACCAGGGTGGGTTTCACCGAGTCAAGCGATCACAGGCGATGATTTGGTTGGTTTTAATACCAAGTAATCCACCGTGATCACAGCCGATATGCCTGAAGATTGATACCAGGCTTGGCTTGCAATGACACTTGCCGATTTCAACAGTTTCCATAACCAACTGTGATCATAGCACCGATATGCCTGAAGATCGATTCCAGGCTTTCAACGGTTTCCATAACCAACTGTGATCATAGCAAGCAAGCCTGAAGATCAATACCAGGCTTGCTTTACCGCGGACGCTTGCCAACATGTATATTTTCAACGAGCTCAGCAAAGGTTGGCAAGCACGGGCCTTCCACTGGCGCGATAATCTTCAGACCAAGATTACCATTTGGATTGAGGGTCAATGTGATGTGCATGCAGGGTAAAATGTCTAAGCACCCATGCATATATTGATCAAACACTCTTAGAAACATAGTTATCTTTACACATGTTTCTGAATATAAGAATTGCCCTTCTCATACTTATCTTTCCCACGCGCCCCTTTTGGTTTCTTCAACTTTGATCTTCATATCGTCATTTTTCTTCGTACTCCCTGTTTTCTCTTCCACTTCTGGTTTTCAACTCTGCTATCCAAACATATATGGCGTCTTTTGGGCCAGATCACACCTGCTGCACGTGTGTACCTCTTGGCTGTTCCAAAAGACAGTTTCAAAAGCACGGAGAGATACACACAGGGCGCCTTTTCCATCGCACAAATTACCCTCGACATCTGACAGAGTCTACTGCTTGCTCTGCGGCTGACATAGGCAAGTTCATCAAGAAGTTTTGAAAGAAGTATGATTATTTGTCTCATCATATTTCCTTCACAGCTGTTGTTCCATCGAATATCTGTACAAACCGCTCCGATCTTGCTCCTGCCCCTCCTATACTTGGGAAACGCGCTCGATCCCCCAACATCTCAGCCTCTGGCCCAACCTCTCATGTCTCTGCCGAGGAACCACTCCAAAAGACCACACGCTTGGCGGTCTCAGTTGATCCGGTACTTGATTTACATCCAAATTTGGATTCACTAGAATCCACCTCTTGCCAGGCTAAGTGTGCCCCCCTTCCACTGAATCAACAGTTCACATTCCAACTTGAACCTCAACTCCATTTCAACACAGACACCTTCTACACTCCGCGGACTCACTTACAACATCCATCATGTGTTCAGTCCATGATTCAAGTCTTGAATGAGCATCTCATCAAGAACGGTTCTGTGCACGATTGTAGAACTTCACTTAAATTAGAACGTCACAAATTTGAGGCTGCTTTTGCCAGGACCGATCCCAAAGTGGTATCTCTCAGCACTGAAATTCCGCTTGGTGTACTCAAGCTTTTACGCGCCTTTAATCTTGAAGCACGCGTGCATCAAAGTGTCACATGCGGCAATTGCTTTTCATTATATGGCCCCCCCGAGAAAAGTCCAAATCAGCCCACCTGTAACAATTTTCAATTCTCGACCACAAAGTCAAATAAGCCAAAGTTTGAATGTAAAACCGCACTTTACAAACCAGACACTAAGAAAGCCGATTCAGTGCGCCCTCGAAAGGTTTTCTATCACCAAAAATTTGTCGAATGGCTTGCCACAATGTTACATCACACAACATTTGAAACCAATCTTGACTCCTTGTTGACTCGTCCCAGCCCACCCTCAGGGATCTTACAAGACATATGGGATGGGACCCTCTGGAACACGTTCAAAAAAAATGGCGCAGTCTTCACGCGGACTTCTGGGAATTTGGTTTTCGGATTCTATGTAGATTGGTTTGACCCATATGGCACCAAACGAGGACGAAAGCATAGTTCTGGCCTCATGATGCTGATATGTTTCAATCTACCACCGGATATTCGATATCATGCCGATAACATGTTTGTATATGGCATCACTCCCAGCCAAAGAGAACCGACCAGTACCCAGATGAACCCCATATTAGCACCCTTGATTTCTGAGCTTAAAGAGCTATGGAAAGGTATTTATTTCAGCAAAACATCCCTTCACCCCAAAGGCAGAACAATCACGGTTGCTTTGTGGCCGCTCCTTGCTGATGTACCAGCAATGAAAAAAATATCCGGGTTTTCTGGCCACAGCCCAACCAACTTTTGCTCAAAGTGTTATATCACACTAGATGACATCAATTTTGTTGATATCAAAGTTTTCAAAAGTCGAACGGCGCTCACCCACAAAAGGCAAGCCCAAAAATGGCTTGAAGCCGATTCATCCAAGCTCCAAGATGACCTAATGAAGGACAATGGGGCCCGATATTCAGCGTTTTACGAGCTTCCTTACTGGCAGCCTCTTGATTTCGCCACTGTGGATGTGATGCATTGTATCATTCTTGGCTTATTGGCCGACTTCTCAAACACATACCTTCAAATCGCATCCGCAGGGAAGGATCTGAAGAAGCAACAGGATATCAAGCTGGGTCATGGCGATTATCCAGTCTTTGAACATATCTCAGCTCTTGGAACTCTTGACGCTGAAATGAGCGAGCCTGACACAGCTTCTTCCTCACGCCACAATGATCAATCTGCTCATAGCTCAACCGCACGAGCCAAATATCCACGCGCTGCTAAATCCTGGACCGACACAGAAAGTTCATTTGCTCCCAGCGGAGAAGGATCCGAAACGTCTCAGCAATTGCATAGTACACTCAAATTCTCTACCGGCCCAACCCTTACTGTTCACGAGCTTGAGATTCTTCACAAGACTGTCTGCAATACGATTGTTCCATCATGGCTTACTCGTGTTCCACACAAGGTTGGCATGCCAATGTGTGGTACTCTTAAAGCGGCGGAGTGGCTGAGCCTGTACACTGTGTACATGGTTCTCTCACTTGTAGCATATCACAACGACGCAGAACCCCACTCTGACGCGTCCAAGATACATTTAGGAATCACACTCGCCACACAGATTGTCAATATCTGTTTCTCACGTAGTCTGACCCCCGATGATGTCAACACACTGCCATATCTACTCAGTCAATATCGTAATCACCTCTTGGACGCTTGGCCTGACATCAAATCCAAACCCAACTTGCACTTTGCCCAGCATTTGCCAGCTCAATGCCGACTGCTTGGCCCACCTTCATACACTGCTTGTTGGGCTGGAGAGCGGGTCATAGGTAACATGGTTGCGACTCCAAAAAGCGGGAACCGTGGTATGTCTTTTCTTCCAATATCAGATTTTTGGTACTTCAAAATCTAATCATCAACCTTTTTTAAACTTTATTCTAAAGGGGTTGTCGGACAGACAATGATAAAGAAGCACACCCAAAGAGGGTTCTTTCTCAATTTCCTCAGGAACATACCTCCGAAGTATGCCAAAGAAATAGGAGCTAACATAATCCTCAGAGCTGCTGCAACAAACTGGAAGCCGTATTCGCCATCTTCGGAAATCGCCGCCGCAATCAAGCCAATATTACACGAAATGGATTGTGACACCGCACTCCAGTTCCAGATGACTTCAAGTTGGAAATTTGGTGGCAAATGTTTCAGCACATATGCTGAACATCATGGGGATAGTTATGTTGAGTTCATCCATCAAGGGACCAAAGGATATGGTGTCATTCATTACATAATCAGGTCTCATGAACATGCCCAGCCTATGTTTGTTCTGCACGTTTTCCGGGATCTTGACTCACAAGATGAGCATAAGAACCCTTACCGATTGCTACCTCACCTAAACGCAACAGTCAAGTATAATCACAATTTGATACTTAAGGCTTTCCTTACAAAGGATATCATAGGTCACTGCGCTGCATTACACAATCCAGCACAAACCTTTTGCATAAACAAGCCAACTGTCTCTCTTGTCGGTCTTCAAAGTATGGTGAGTTCAATTTCATCCATTGTAGGGACACGTGTCTAAACTGACTAAATTCTTATGTGATTAGAGTATGGCAGACATGTCTTCAAGTGATAATCGAAGGTCTTGAAACTAAGCTGCTTGTTTGTGACGTGGGTATTCATGTACTGGCAGTCAGTGGTTAGTTTTCCTTATATGATACGTGTAGATTACATGTATGAATACTTTATTTTATTGCTTGATACACGTTACAAATATATATATATATACATATCAGTCTCTCAATTTCCCGCCACATATCTATTTGTAAAAAAAAAACTATATCTGGTACTACCTGATTTAAATACGAGCGAGATACTAAAGTTTTGTATGACATTAGGTAAAGTATTTAACAGGCTTGACACAGGCTTCATTTGAAGTGCAGCTTTTTCTTCGTCTGTCAGATTGAAAAGGAAGAGAGGATCATAACAGTTTTCGGGAAGGCCCGGACAAAAAGCAGCATTTGAGTCAACCTGAGTGGCCTTTGTTCGACATTGGTCAAATCTCCGAGAGGCACGGAGAGGACCCTGGGTAGATGAACAATACTTGAAAGATAAGCCGTCTATTTGCTGGATTATTGAATTGTACTGTTGACTTCGCCAGACCAGGCCTATTGAAGGATATGAAGTCTCTTCAGGGACCCACTCTGTTTCTGAACAACAATCATGATGTGGCAAAAGTTCGGCCGCCTGGTCGGGAAGATTACTGGCTCGTAGAAGGCGCGATAAAGATTCGACTCTATATTTAAAAAGCTGGATCATTGCCAAATTAGCATCATGAGTTCTGTGAATGATCTATCCCAAGATGAGAATCTGTATCAACTCACCGTCCTTTTCTTACGCCGCATCTCTTTCTGGAGGTTTTTTTGGGCAGATCGACAATTTTGGCGAATATCTACACGCTGACCGCGTACCCATCGAAGCATAATTCCAAGGCAGTTTTCTTCTGTTTTGTGTTCTGGAGTTATCGATTGTTTGTCAAATGCACCTTGCAATCTAGCATATTGCCAATGCTTAACGATGAAGATTGCCATTGTTTGGTTCCATGGATCCCTGTCCGGCATCCCCCAATCAAAGGTCAATTGGCTGAGACCGTGGTTTTCCAAGTCAGTGCGGCAGAGGGACTTGAAGACATCGAGTTGTTGGGATGGTACGCAATCAATTAAAGTTGGCACTGTTGAGAAAATTCGCCGATCACTCATGATTTCCTTTCGAGTAAGGGGTCAAAGTCGGCATCTTTCATCGGGTGTAGGACCAGGTGGGTAACTCTTAGTGGACTTGTTGTATCCAAGCAAGGACCTTGCAAAGCTAGCCAGTGAGTGGCATATTGCTTCATTCGAATCTGGAAGCAAGTCGCGAACCGAAGCATTTAAAGCTTTGAGGGATTGGACTGCAGCCCCTCTCTTCCAGTGATGAGATGCTGAATGGTTTGAAAAGAGATAAAGGTAAAGATAAAGATCTTTACAATAGACCATGAAAGTAGAGAAATTTAGGACAAACCCATTGCCAGTGCCTTTAAAATTTATGTATGGAGATGCAAGGTGATAGAATGATGATTATGTTCCGACGACACAATCTGCTATCTAAATACTTGTATTGATGAGCTATGATGCCTTCAAAGGCTCAAATCATCACTGCTTCAATTCAAAACATCTCAGTATGTATTTACGATGGCCGGATATCAATCTAACGGACAGTCAGTTAACCTCAGAGTTAACAAAGGCCGAGTCAACCCTTTCTGCCATGATCCAACCGCCGCCGAAATTCTTTTTCGTGCGAATTGTTTCTCTACAAAGGGGTGATCAGGCCTGTATTACAATCTACGATTTGAAACTCAAACAAAAAACATTCAATCTTGTTTCAAACGTCTCCGTGTGTGCACGTCGACGTGCTACACGGTGATGGACGTGGTGAAAGCTTTTTCAGATGAACTTCACAAGAAATTTGAGAAGAGAATGATTAAGGAGAAAATGATGAAGAAAGTGTCAAGTGGAAGATATAAATTACCTAATTTGGAGAAATTGGAGCAGGTAGTTGATCATTATATTGAAGAAGAGGCGCTTTTGGTATTTGAAGATGTTGGAGAAGAAAAATATACTATTAAAAATGAAATTGCTGGAGTTCACAGTGAAGTTATTCAGAAGGATACTAGTAGTAAAGTTGCAAAGAGTGGTGGAATTCAAGGTAAGGCTAATCAGGAAATGCAGATTTTGTGTACTGATTTGAAGAATCTACAAATTAATCACATCCAAAATCCTTCACAATTACCTCTTAATAATGCTTATAACTTTGAAATTCCCATTTCAAATGCTCTACAGAATCAAATTCATGAACAAGTTGTTCCTCACCAAAGGGATAATGGTCAATTTCCGTCAAATAATAATTCCAGGCCTCAACAATTTAATAATAATCAAAGTGATTTTCAATCAAACAGAGCCCCTAATAATCAAAATTCCAATAAGTTGAATAATAATAATAACAGACCTGTTCAGAATCCTGTCAATAATAATGGGCATCAAACTCCCGCCATTAATATAATCAAAACTGTATGCCTCAACAAAATACTATGCCATTTTGTTCTTATTGTAACACGGAGGGACATTGTATGGGAAGATGTAAGTGGGTTATTCAAGATAACCAAGCTGGATTGCTTCAAGATAGAATGGATGGATTATTTTTACCTAAAAGTATTGAAAGAATGTATAAGAAGGCTAATGAACAAATTAGACAACAAGTTATTAAATATTCTGAAGATGAAGCAAATGCTATGGCACGGAATAATATGCAACAACAACAACAGAATGCTCCACCTGTAGATAATTCACCTGTAACTAATACAGAAGTTGCACCACCTGTAGTTCCCACGAGTATTTTAACCAGAGAAGAAGGAAAGGATAAGGTACATGAATTGAAGACTAATTGTAGTGTTTTGGAGGAATGGTCTGTTCCTGAATTGACTAAGAAGTGTGCTGAAGTTGAAGCTGGAGCAGGAAATGAATTATATGGCGTGGAGATGAAGACAAGCAGTGGAAAAGCTGTGGATCAAGGGGTTGTATTAAATAAATTGAAGAAGAAGAAGGAGAAGGTATCAATCAATGATATGATAGAAGAAATTGATGCTATGGACATGGATGAAGAAAATATTGGAGAAGAACAACATGATATACTGGATGGAAGTTCAAAGAGAATTTATAGGGATGAGGAAATTGATAAGAGTGGAAATGGTTCAGCTCAAACAAAGAAACAAATGTGTATTATTCCAAATAATGAAGATTTTGTGAAGAGTAGAACTGAGAAAAGATTACCTGCTTTTGCACATAAGGCTAAAATACTTTCTGAGGTTGTAGAAAAAATCATGAAAGGTGCTATTGAACTTCAAATTGAAGAATTATGCGCCATTTCACCTGTAATCTCTGATGAAGTTAAGAAATGGGTTTCAAAAAGAAGGCTTAATTTAAATCAAACAACTATGGCTTCAGTTGCAAATACTTCTATTTCATCTGACTTTGAATATGAAACAGAATCTGATTTCTCTTTGGAAGTTAATGTGCCTCAAGCAACTCTTTGGTCAACACCTTTGGGACATGTGGAAATTAAAATTGGGAAGATGAAGGTTAAATCTCTTATTGATTCAGGATCTGAAATCAATATTATTCCTTTGAAAATTATGCAGCTATTACCTGTTCAGACTTTAGTTAATTTAAAAAGTGGTGTGAGAGGTATAATTAGTGGTCATAGAACTCCTCTTTGTGGTATTGCTGAGAATGTCAAGAGTCATGTTGGCGCTAATATTGATTAAATAGTACATTTCTTTGTGGCAGAAGGCAATGACATGCCTATCTTACTTGGAAGACCTTTTCTCTTTGATTTTGAAGCTCAATTCAATTTTGAAGAAGATGTAGGGGAAAGAATTACTATAAAGGTTGTAGAGGTGTATGGATGAAAATCAGATTATGTGAACCTGATAGAGGCACGTGGGAAAGGAAATTAAATGTTTCAATTGAAGAAAGACAAGTGTTGATGGTGAAGAAAAATGAAGAGAAGGATTTATTTGAGGAATTACATGAAGAATTAAATGAAGATGAGATATATGGACTTCAATTTGAAAATGAAATCAATATGGAGCAGACTTTAATTGATGAAATTAATATTATTATGAACTGGGAGAATGAAGATATATTTAGAAATCCAGATGGAACTGAATATAGAAGTTTTGGTGCTAAATATAAATCAGTTGATAAAAAAGTCAAGCCAGTTAATGTGCCTATGCCTCAATATTTAAGTTTTCCTCTTCAAAGACCAATTTTATCAAGGGATCCTTATGTGACTCCTTCAGTTCCAAATCCTCCAGAATTCATTGATACTGAGAAGACTACAGTGGAAAGGTTGGAGCGGTGTAATTTTGGACCTTCAGGATGGCTTTCAGATGAGGAATGGAAGTTATTTCCTTTTATTTTAATTTTATAAGAAGGAGCTGTGGCTTATTGTGAAGAAGGAAGAGGATTATTGAAGCATTCTTATGGCTTACCTTATGTGGTTCCAGTAGTTGATCATGAACCTTAGCAAATTAAACCAATTCCAATAGCTACAGCAATCAGAAATGAGTATATTGAACTAGTAAGACAAAGAATCAGGACTGGTCTTTTTGAACAATCATCTTCAAGTTATTCTAGTCCAGTGTTTTGCATTCTTAAAGGTGTTGGGAAGTTGAGATTTGTTCATGCCCTTCAAGTATTGAATGAAGATGCGGGAATACCTCCTTCACCTGAAGAATTTGTGGAAGGTTTCTCTGGAAAAGCTTCTTATGGATTAGGGGATATTATGGGAGGATATGATGTAAGAGAATTGGTGCAAGTTTCAAGACCTTTAACTACTTTTGATACTCCTTTGGGAAGGTTACAATTCACCAGATTACCTCAAGGTGCAACTAATTCTGTGGCAGTTTATCAGGCACAAATGATGTGGATATTGCAAGATGAACTTCCTTAACATGCAGGAATATTTATTGATGATGGAGGATTTAATAGACCTGAAAGTGATTATAATAATGAAGTGTTAAAAGAGAATAAAGGAATAAGGAAATTTTGTTTGGAGTATGCTATTATATTGGAAAGATTATTATTTAGAATTGAAGAAGCAGGATTCACAGTATCTGGAAAGAAATTTGCCGTGTGTGTGCCAGCTGTAGAAATTGTTGGACATATAGCAAGCGGAAAAGGAAGAAGTGCAGCTGTTAAAAAGAAGAATAAAATTCAAATTTGGCCAACTCCAACAAATAAAACTCAAGTTCTTGAATTTTTATGCACATATATTTATGTTAGAATGTTTATTCCTAGCTTTGGACACCTTGCTGCACCTTTAAGAAGATTGACAAGAATGAATGTTGATTGGGAATGGAATCAAGAATGTGAAGAAGCTTTTAATTCATTAAGGAAGATAGTAGGAGAGGATATTGTTTTGGCAGCTTTGGATTATAGTGAAGGAGCAAATAAAATAATATTGGCTGTGGATTCAAGTTATATTGCAGCTGGTGGAATTTTAATGCAGGAAAATGATGAATGAGAAATGAGGCCTGTGTTTTATGAATCAGAAGTTTTTACTGAAGTTGAATCAAGATACTCTCAGCCCAAGTTAGAATTATGTGGTGTGGCAAAGGTTATGAGGAAGTGTAAAACAAAATTATGGGGTTAACATTTTGAATTGATGTCAGAATATAACTCAATTCATCAAACACGTCAAACCACATAAATACATTATCAAAATACATTACATCAAAATTCAATTAACTCAAATACATGACATCAAACCTAATTCATCATACACATGATTCAAACCTAGTTCAAAAAAGTATCACATATAAATATGATTTTCACTTCTCCACGTCAGCCTCTTTTCCCTCATCAGTTCACTGAGGAAAAAGAGGCGTGTAAGTGGATTTCTCATACAATTTCTCAAACTCATAAACTCTATTAAAACTTTCTATTTTATTTTACTTTGTTGTACAGACTGCTCCTGTTATCTTACCTTTATAGGTTTGTCATCCATTCTCGTCTTCGGTGTTCAGAGCCGCTAGACTCACACCCGTTTGCTGGTGTTATAAGGTTAGAGATATTAGTTGACTATATGAAATATAATCATCAGTTCACTGAGGAAAAAGAGGCGTACTGCTCCTGTTATCTTACCTTTATAGGTTTGTCATCCA